ATAAAAAATTAAATTAATATTTTTAATATTTATTTTCCTTAATACATATGTAATATAATCTTTACGTTTTAAATTTTTTTTTTCTCAACTATCTAATGTAAGACTCATTTAACAAATTTTTCTCAATTTTTTTAATATTAATTTTTTACTAAATATAAAAATATCAATAATTTAATAAAATTCCATTACAAGTTTTATTAATTTTTCATACAATAGTATTAAACTTTTTGTATATTACTATACTTCTCTAATAAAAACTTCCTTTCATTAATAAAATTAGGATCTATCCCGGCCCTAAAAAAGTCATGCTAATTGCTAAAGCATAGGAAAAAGAAAAAAAATTCTAATCAATCTTGTACAGCAAACAATAGTCATGAGATTTGAAAATCAACGCTCTTTATTTTCCTAGAGGAATCAAACCAACTCTTGTTAGCCGGGGCTGCAAAGCGTAAACAGCACGTGCCTAAACTTGACTTGGACTAGAGCTTCGAATTTTCATTTAAAACTATGTATAAATAATTAAATATAATAAAGGGTTTTGCCCATCTCGAACTCCACAGAGCTTGATCAAACTCTTTTCTCAGTTTTGTTTTTCCTTTTTAGTTGTTGAAAAACTCTCCTCTGTTTTCTTTTAGTTGTTGAAAGTGTTCTGCTCTTCAATCCTCTCTACTAAGAATGGATCTCTTGATGAAGGCAGCTCAAGCAGGAGATATCGATACCTTGTATACAGCTCTTGATCAAGATCCAAATCCTCTACAGCAAATTGACATGAAGCCATTAGTTGAAACTCCTTTGCACATAGCAGCATCTGCAGGGCATATAGAATTTGCCTTGGAGATCTTGAGGCTGAAACCCTCATTTGCTTACAAGGTAAATAAGAATGGATTCAGTCCCACGCATGTTGCTTTACAGCACGGGCAAAAAAAAATGGCACTTCGTCTCACGAATGCTCATGGTGATCTCGTCCGAGTTAAAGGAAGAGCAGGGATCACTCCTCTGCACTATGTGGCCGAGAAAGGAGATATCCATCTTTTGATAAGATTTTTATCCGTTTGCCCAAAGGCAATTGAAGAAGTGACAGATAAAAATGAAACAGCGCTTCATATAGCTCTCAAAAACGACAAGTTGGTAGCTTTTGAAGTTCTGCTAAAATGGTTAGAGATTGGAAGTGAAGAGGGTCTTTTCTGGGCTAAAAAGATCCTCAATTGGAAGGACAATGATGACAACACCATCTTACAACTTGCAATATCCAGGAGAGAATTACAGGCAAGAAATCATCCATACCCTAACTCTCACCCCAAATTGATTTTTTTTTTTTTTTTTTGAAACTTCTGTTAGTTTTTATTATAAAGCTGATTGATGCTTATCTATCTTCTTACTTAAGTGTAGGCTGTTAAATTGTTAGAAAATTGTAAAGCTGCGAAATATTTGGATGGTTTGAGGGAAGGCCATAACCAACTGGCCAATGAAGAGGTTGAAGATGGAAACACGCTACTCAATGTAAAGGTTGAAGATGACATTGGGATAGAGGTTGGGACAAAACTGAACCAAATAGGGAGCATCAGGGTTGAAGATGCAATCCAGGATGAAGTTGAAGATGGGACAATCTCTGCTATGCCTTCAGCAGCATTTTTGTTCCTTCGTGAGAATGCAAATTTCTTGAGGTAAGAAATTGGTACAAGAGTTAGCTTCTCTTGATATTATAAGTTATTTGTTTTTTGAACGGCAATTATAGTATTAGTCAGATTACAAGTGGGTACTCTAGCCCTTACATCCATCAAATTTTAAGTTTAGTACAAAAACACAGTTATGACATAGCAAAGGATTACTTTTCAATACCATTAGCTTTGCCCTGTTTTGTATTGCTCACACTTTCTCCTGACATCTTGTTCTTCAATTCAGTTATCTGATCTGTTACATTTTTTATCATCTGTCCCAAGCTAAACCAGCCTCCTCACAACTGGTCAACCTCCTCTTATTGACTTTATTCACAATTTTGGCTCAATAACCCAGTCACTAAAAATTGAACATGCATCCTTCCATTCTTCCTTTAATCCAATGAAAGGATCTTCACTGAACTAACTCAAATAATCCTTGATATTATAAGTTATAACCACATCATATATATGCAAACAAAACATAATGCATGCAGATGACAACATTTGTACCAATGTTTTGCTAATGCATACGCAACAATTTTAAAGAACATTCATTCCAACATCTTTATATTTTTAATTCAATATTTATTTAATTTGACAGAACAGATCAGAGGTTGAAGATAGCTGCTCAAGAGGGAGACACCAATGCCTTGTATGAAATTTTTTTGGAGGACCCAAATGTTTTGGAACGAATTGATCAAGTGCCATTTACAGAGACTCCATTGCACATTGCTGCATCTGCAGGGAGAATCAGGTTTGCTGAGGAAATTATGAGATTAAAACCTTCTTTTGCTAGAAAGGTCAATCAAGATGGACTTAGCCCCTTGCACTTGGCTTTAGAGAACAAAAGGTTCAAAATTGCCTTTAACCTACTTGCAATGGATAAAGAGCTTGTTCATGTAAGAGGTAAAGGTGGTCTTACTCCATTGCATCACGCAGCAAAAGAAGGAAATGATGATCTTTTGGCTAAATTGATTGCAACTTGCCCTAAATCTATTGAAGATCTAACAGTTCGTAGAGAAACTGCACTGCATGTGGCAACCAGAAATGACAACTTGATTTGT